GTATCTCTGGGCAAAATATGAAGGTTTTCAATTTTTCGAAGCAAGTCAAGCTCACTATGGTTGGGTTTCAGGTGACGTCACAAGCTTTGCTGAAGTTAGTGTCCGCCATGTTGGTGTCCCTCGGGTGTCAAATTTATGAATAATTAGTCGATTTCTATAGTGAAGCCCTCTCTCTTATCGCCGTATTATTTCGCCAACTACATGAATATCCAGACAGAAAAAAGCGATAAAAGTATCCGGCATTCATCTTAAGGTATCCCAGTGCTCTCTGAGTATGCCGAAAGCTTAGAGAGTTGGAAGGAAAGATGTTTGCAAAAGATCTCGGTCATTGGGGTTGACCCTGCAAGCATACCAGCCGAGAAGTTCAGTCCAAAATGCTTGCCTCCTGTGGAAGCGTCGGACTTGCTGAGTTACCTCGTTCTTGAGACCAGCTTCTACACCAAGAAGCAGTTCAAGGCGTTCAAGAGTCTAGAGGCGTTTAATCAAATGGTGTCGGGATTTGTAACCTCAGTTGTAGGCAAAGTAATCGCCGGCAAGTATGCCGTGAGAGCACGAGTTTGGCATTCACAGCATATGAGTGATCCTTTAGTGAACATTTGGGTCATTTCCGAAAACGATGGGACTATTTTGTCAGCCCATTGCTTGGGATGCAAAGCTGGACTGGCTGAGTCATGCTCACATATCGCAAGTGTTTTATTTATGTTTGAGGCAACTACTAGAATTCATGGCAAGCTCGCTGGGTGTCACGAAAACTCAGGTCCCTCGAAGTATTCTCCAAGCTTTCGAAGTGCTCCATAATTCGATAGTGCATAGCATAAAGCATGAACCAATTTTTTTTATAATATAACCGGTGGAACAATGCAACAAATCCGACGCGAAAGACGGACAACAATATCAAGAGTGATTCTTCAGTGAAGCGAATCGTGACGGCGCTGATGCCGAGTCTTCTTTCGCGTTGTTTTTCTCTTTCTGCCTCATTTAAGAACTCTAGCCCAAGGGTCGCAAAATTGTCTTCGTTTTGGGACTGGTGGGCCGAGTCTCTGTTTGTATCCATTATTATCGCGAAATATTTAAGAATTTTAACAGAGCGACAAGGATCTGTGCAACGAAGTACAAAAAGGTAAACAAACGTCTCTTTCGGCTCGTCAAAATCACGCCACATTTTAGTACTTTGATGTTGGAGCGAGCGCATTTGATCCCGTTAACTGTGAATGAAAAGTTCAAAATTAACGGGGAAAATGGAGGTAAATCTAAGCTAAATGAAGTCTTGTGTCACTCTAAAATGTTTTAATACTCAACCATCGGACGATTTTGCGAAACGTGCAACTTGCGGCCTTGCTTTTGCTGCTTCAGTTGGATCAAGACCCAAAAGGTCAAAATACACGTGGGATTACCAGGAGTGATCATGAGTCGAGTTTATCTCTTGAATTTTCGAGGAGTCTGAGTTTTCGGGGTCTGAGGTCTGAGTTTTCGGGGTGTGAGTTTTCGTGACACCCCAAGCTTACTTGCACTCCGGTAAAATGCTCATGGATTTTGCCGACATAGGTCAATGAAGTGCCGTATGCGAGGGCTAAAGACATCGATTTCTCATCGGCTAAGAAGCTCAAAGGAAAGCTCGACCAAAAAATCGAGGATCTACAACAGCCGCAAGCCTCGAACCATACAACAACTTCTAGTTCCTCCTATTCTTCCCCTTGATTTGTGATGATCTTAGGTATAGCGCATTAGATCATATATATAATGAATTTTGCGCTATAGAAATAATAAAATTATTAAATTATTATACGAAAAAATCCTTAGTCTTTATGCTTTCCACTTTTGCTCGAACAGCCAACAAAAATGCATAAAACCATCCCTTCTTTCTCACATGAACTCTTCGTTAGATGCGGTTTGTTTACGCTCGAGGGACACCAAGATGGCGGATATTAACCGTTGCTAAGGTATTGGTCACGTGGGTGAAACCCAAGGATAAGGTATCTCTGGGCAAAATATGAAGGTTTTCAATTTTTCGATCATTTGCCACATTTTTCGATTTTCACTCGGTCAATTCATACATTCGTTCTTAAGCAGGAAAAAGGCCTCTTTTGATTATAAATCTTAACCTCTGGAACTTCTCTGAAAGTTTTGATTTTTACCCAACCGATAATTAAAGCGAATTCCATGTCCCCAATGATACTGGATAGGAGGAGATGAGAAGTACACACAACGAATCTTATCTTGTTTTCTTTATTTCAAATTACAATTTCATAAAAATCACACCCAATTATCTAAAATTTACTTACACAGACAGTATAAAATGTTTACACGGGATCAAAATTTCATTAATGTCTTCCCAATTTACTTTTGTGCTATATTAATATAATAAAGCGATATATATATTTATCTTCCATAGGAAGTACACAATTGACTTTATCATAATTATTTCTTTTACTTTTTTTTACTTGGATTTTGGTTTTCCTACAGATCTTAATTACAAGCTATTCTCTTAATTTTCCATAAATCAGCAGCAAGTGTTACTACATATCCATAAAATTCGTCCAACGTAACTTTGGTGTGCAGGAATACATCTTGAGTAGCTTGTGTTGTTAGAGGACGATTCCCTAATTCGTTGACTGTGCCATTTGTTCGTTGGGGAGCCTGTGTTGTAGGGTTGTTTCCTTGTCGTTGCTGTTGATATTATTACAAAAAGACGTTTAGAGTACCAGTCCACATAAGAAATCCCCACATTTTTCAATAAACATACTAGCGACATTAAATAGATGGTCACTTATCCCTCGTTATTTTTGGTATCGTTCTATGAAATTAAGGAATAATAAATTAGTTCTTCATGAAAAGTTAGTCGAATTAACCACTATTCCAACAAAAACAGGTCAGAATATCCTGATGTAGCTACCCTTTAGTTTGGGTAAAAGAATGAATACAGGAAACCTCTCATTTTTTTGACAAAGCATTCCGTAGAAATACAAAACAACACTTACAATTATTTTGACGATCCTTTGCAGATGATTTATGAGTGCCTTGGTGTGATTTTTCATAGACCCGAGTTCATTAATGAACAGTCCTTTGGCATCCTGGCGACGGTTCAATTGTCTCATGGAATTTTTTATCGCTGACATAAAGATTTTTAAAATGCGGAGGTTTACTCTGAGAATCTCCTTAGACTAGAAAATGGGGAAAAATATACGAAATTTATCTTGTTAGTTAAATGAACATATTGCCATATCTGTTATTTATATACCTTACCTGGACGCAGTTAACTTATTACGTTAATCAAAACCATTAGCAATTCTTAGGAACAAAAAATTAAGTCAGAAACTGTTGGTCAGTTGTTTACCGTATTTGCTGTTTTATGGAACCTTCCGGGAGGTACAGTGAAGTCAACATTGGTTTCCTTGTAGGGGTCTGTTGGCCATTTCTTTCCCTGTAAGGTAAAACAGAATAATTAGAACAACACGACCTATCGTACGAAAACTAAGAAACCGATCACCGTAGTTTTGCGAACGTTATATACCAGTGTGTTTCAATTTAAGATCCAGTAAACATGAAAGTTCTGAAAAGATATAGGTTAATGTGATAGAGAAAACTTACAATCGTGCTGGTGAGGACAGTGATTTCTTTCGTCAGAAATCGAGAACGAAGTAAAGCGTTTGAGAGCAGGACGCGAACTTCGGTGTCCTTTTGGCATGGCCATGACTGGAAAGTACGTGCAACGGGTAAACATGTCGCTACTGTGATGATGCAGCAAATGGGAAAACTTACTGCAGTGATCACTAGGGATGACAAACATGACTACAACTTAGGAAATTCAAATGAAAAACCGAAACTTTCTGTTCAACTGGCATGGGGCTGCATAGTTAAACTAAGGACAGATGGTAGTAAACTAAAAGTTTATATCGCGATTTAAAGAATTAACCCCTGCTTGGGATATTTAAAAAATCATGGTAACTAATGATATCATTCAAATTCTATAGTTAATTATTTAACCCAGCATGGAAACCTTTTCAAAGACAACACAACCGAGAACGGGAAATTAAGAAAAGTTTCAAATCTTACCTTTCATTTGACAGAACATAACTTTTGTTGTTCTAAACTCCAACAATCGATATCGCAAACTTTGTGAATTGGAATCCAGAGAAAAATTTGTGCTATTTTAAAGAAAAAAATGTGACTCATGTTTTCAGATTTAGCAGCAGGGCTGGATAAAATATGCAAGGATTGTCCCGCGTTCAACTTTCATTTCCGTTACACCTGCTACGTGGCTGCATTCGGTTACGTTACTCACGCCGTTAGGGGTAACAAGCAGAGTAAAAAAGGTATTTTAAAGTTTAAGGGGTGAAAAAGTATAGGGCGAAAAGAAGCGGTCATATATTTCTTAAATATTTTATAAGGGGAATTGTTACTTTTTCCTCTACCTAACCTCAAACCGACAAGACACATAGCCTCAATTTTGCTGTAATTTTTGTTTATTTTATATAAATGGGAATGTCGTAAGATCTTGTTCGAAATCAGTCATAGAAAATGGAATTTGTAATGGTTAAAATAAAGGTGCCTCAAGGACAAAGAAAACTTGAAACAGGAGTTAGAGAGAGAGAGAGAGAGAGAGAGAGAGAGAGAGAGAGAGATTGGGTGCGACATTGAGAGAGTGAGAGGAGAGGGAGAAAGAGACAGAAAGTTGAAAGAAATTTATTCATTTTGGACTCAAACTGTTTCAGAGGTCATGATAAGTAGTAGTAGTAGTAGTAGTAGTAGTAGTAGTAGTAGTAGTAGTAGTTCTTTATTTAATGTGGCACCACACTTAGCTACAAGCTACTTTTCAGGAAGCCCACAACAAAATATTCAATAAAAAATTACAACTTACATCAAGAATTATGTACATTAAGTAATATATTATTATAAAAATGATATCGCAAATTTATATATCTATTTGTATACATGTATACAGAGATAAAAAAAAAATAAAAACTAAAAACTTAAAATTTTAGGCGACGGATATCGTGAAGAACCGTTCTTGCCTTTGCGCGCATAGCATCTGGTAGCGCAAGGCGAATCTTTATGAATGTAGTGTCGCTGCTAGACTTGTTTCCACTTCATTATTATCCTGGCAAAAAAATGTAAATTTATATCACAGTACATATAAACAACATGAAAAACAAATGTGAAATATTCATCGAAACTTTCATGAGCATACTCAATTTCAACAATGCGTTTTCTTTGGTAGCTTTCTTAACTTGTCTCCAGACATACTTACCTATGACGACTAGTTTGTGAGAACTGAAACCGAATGGAATTCTGTCGGAACTACACTGCACTCCAGAACCTCCAGCATTAATTACCTTCTTGTCCACCTGCTCCAAAAAAACATTTCCTGTCCTCGCTTTAATATTCCAGAATTAATCGTTGCTTCATTTTGTAGGCGTGCTACATCACTACTAAAACCGCAATATGATATAAAATAGAAAAAAAAAGCGTTTTAAGTAAGCATGTTTTTTTTTTAACAGATGGGACTATAACCTGCAAGGCTAAACGATAGCCCCTCTTTAGGGGTAAAGAGCATCAGATGAAAATTGATTAATCCTCCAAATACCCAAACACATCAACACCTCACCTCAGGGAAATTTTATTGTGAAGTTATAACCTTCATCTTTTTCTGTTGCGGCCAAAGTTATTCCGCTGTTACAAAATGACCAAAGGATAAACATCGTTAAACGGAAGGAACATGTTTCATTAGACATGCTTCAGATTTGCATTGCTAAGGGAGCCGGGAAGTATATCATTGTTACGCAAAATGCATCACTTTTCTCGGAAAGATTTTTCCATGAAAAACTATGCACCTGTCTATGACCGAAAAAACAATTCAAACTTATATCGTTAGACTTATATCAACTCGATTTAAATGTCCAGAGAGACAAGAATTCCCTTGGATGGGAAAATAAAACTTGTGACTGTCATCTTAACACGTTCATTAGAAAAGGAAATATCAGTCGACACATCGATTTTATAGACAAATCTAAGATATTCGTTTAAACTCGAGACCACCGTGCGGAAAGAGACGAATGGTTTCCGTCTGGGGAGCTCCCGCGGAATATTTATACGACTGATGTCTCCCGACATGTCCTTGGACAAACAAGTGAAGCACAGAGAGGGGGATTTTATCATTCGGTAAGGAAGAAGTTGGGAAGTATCGTGGTAGAGGGAATTCCACGGTAAGTAGAAACAGAAAGTTGATGGTTTAAGTAGTTGGATGATGGTTTAAGTTTGTGGATGATGGTATATTCATTTGTGGATGATATCAACAAACTCGGCGGGGGCGGTTTGTTGACGTTTTAAAAAAAACCCTCTGTTTCGGAAGCAAACGATTACGTTCCCTGGCTAGACGGTTTTTTGACACTTTAATAAAGTTTCTACTACTACTACTACTACTCGTATTCTTAATCAGATTTAGCTTGGCTGATGAAAAGGATAAATGTTATGAGATGAAGGTTTATGCTGGTAGCAGAGAGAAATTAGATTCATTCTGTAAATCAAGTCGTCACAAACATAGTTTGGTGTGATCATTTATCTATAGTAGGAAATATTACCTAAGGCTGGTGTTGACTCAGTTTCGGTTATCTATCATGTCTTTCATGTTATTTCTCGCCGGTTAGACTGGATGGAAGTATAGACATGTTCAGAAAGCACCAATTAAGAAATGAGAATTACGATCGTTTTACTTTTGTTTAGACGTAAACAATTAAGAGTGACAGGGTCACACGTGTATTTTATTCGACTGGACAAATGTTGAAATCACTCAACAACATTTGAGCCTATAATCATTGCAAATTAAAATTTATTCTAGGAATACAGACGCTTTCGTTTCATTGTGCACTTTAAAAGTTTTAACTTTACCATTAAATTGCTACACTAATGATTATGTGACCAGCCAAACGATTTACAGTTTAGTGATATACATTCAAATTCCATCAAAATCTGATTCAGAAAATACCATCCATTCTACACGATGTGGCACAATAATAATCATTCCCACCCAAAGGTAGACTCTGATAACGAGTGAAGCAGGTCTCCATTAAAAGTATTTTGTAAGGTTATCCTGTCAGTCTGAGCCTTAAATTGTTCTGACCCGGCCGTCCGAGCTGCTATTGATATTGCTGTCAATATTTAAAGTGCACCTAAACCCAAAAATTTTCTTTCGCTTAACGAAATAAGCTTATTTTTGGAGTATTTCTGTACAAAAATTTTTTAATTTGCTTAAATCTTTAATTTTCTGTGCCTAGTCAAAATACGGAAAATCGGCCGCCATCTTGCCCCACGACCGAGTTTAAAGAGAAATGGCTCTAGTGGATAATGTGACGTCAAATCGAGAACACGAAAGTCTACATTTCACACATTTTCACTTGTTTGGAAAGTTGTAGTCGATATTGTCCGAAATATACCGACTAGGTGTGTTGTATGAGGAATGTATGAAGCGCGATACCCTCTTGCAAATTTCGCACGTTGCTACATCCTCCTACAACACACTTAGTCGGCATATTTTCGGTAAATATCGACTACAACCTTCCCAAACAAGTGAAAATGTGTGAAATGCAGACTTTCGTGTTCTCGATTTGACGAGACATTACCCGCTAGAGCCATTCCTCTTTAAACTCGGTCGTGGGGCAAGATGGCGGCCGATTTTCCGTATTTTGACTGGGCACAGAAAATTGAAGATTTGAGGAAATAAAAAAATTTTTGCACAGAAATACTCCAAAAAAATACGCTTATTTGGTTAACTGAAAAAAATGTTTGGGTCTAGGTGCACTTTAAAGCTAACAACCGACTGCCAACGCAAGTTAAGCCGAAACATTATTAAAGATTCTTTCTGCCTTCGACATACTTAAATTTACCTTCTCTTTTAGGTTGAGTTTTAAGTTACCAAATTGCAAATACAACATTAGATATCAATTCTGTTAATTTGTCTAATTAAAGAAGAAAATCATAATTCAGTCCTCATGAGGATTCAAACCTCAGACCTTCGGATCCACTCTCTAAGCCACGAAGACTCTAAGGTGAGTGTAGGCCATTAGTCATTACAACACTTAGTCTTCAGAATCTTGTTGAAGTCAACGTCCATCTTGAGGTGGCTCGAATAGAGATCATTCAAAACCAACGACACGCGAAGTGCAACGCTATGAATTGTGGGTGAGCTAGAATTCAGGAGTCCTATTGAGTTCTGCGAAGTGATGAGAGATACGAATAGGCATGACTGCTGAGACATGGCTTCCACTTATCCCAGAAACCATATGTGTTGTTGCATTTGAGCCATAAAAAGGAAAGATACCACCTTAATGAAGCTTCCATTCGTTCGTTTCACTTTCTTCAGGACACTCTCTTTCAGGACATGGGAGGGTAAATTGGAATGATGCATGTGATGATGAATATAGGAACCTCACTATAATACGACTATAATACGACTAAAATAAAGGGGAAAACGTTATATTGACCAGTTTAAAAGGCCTATGAGAATGCTTTGAGAAGAATTATTCATGATAAAAATGTTAATTGTTTGGCTTTTAAGAATACTTGTTTGACATCTCCATGTACATTTGTGCGCATTCTCACAGAAGTACACGTGCACTTACCAAGGTGAAAGCGATTTCCAGTTTTCGCAGATATGAAATTATGTTTCGCAGTACACTCTCCAAATTCATCAACTGATGAACGTCTGCTGCACCCTCAGGGAACCTCCGGAAACTGACGGTAGAATTTTGAATCAAGGATAGGAAGCTGCTCAGAATATTTTGATCAGCAAGGAGAGTTGTTCCAGGCTGAAAACAAGTTGATTATTGGCCGTAAGAGAATATTGTTTCAGAATATAAAGAAACAGGAGTAAATAGTATCATTTACTGAGATGGATTGGCAGGCAAGGTCTGGATGTAAAAGGGTTTCAAACATCTAATATTGAAACATTGGAGGAGAAGACTGAGCCAGATGTATGTACCTGTAGTCTGCTTCTATTCAGCGGTTGTGACAAAGAGAACGAAAACTCAGCCTGAGTTTTCCACTGGTCAGCTAGGGTGAGCCATTGCATGGAACTAAACAAAACGGGAAAGTAATAATAAAAAAATCGAGCAAAGGCAAATGAACACGAAAAATATCAAGTAAAGTGTGTACAATGAAATAAAAACTGACCCTCTCAGTCACTCAATCAACCGATTCCGCCACACAAGCATCCATCTGCTGACCAATCGATAAGTCATTAGTTAGATTAAGGACCGCGAAAATGGCGAACGCTGAACGTCGGCTAGCCGTTTGTCGTTTGCCGTTCCGTCCGCGATGTTCGCGTGTTTAAGCTTTCCGATGACACGGCAGAACAAATGTTCTCGGTCGCCATTCACTGCGACTAGAAATAATGGATACAAAGAAGTAATGTATTTTCCGCTTGAATTTGAACTCTATTAGCTTTACAAGCAGTTCATCTAGAAGTAAGATGATAAACGAAGCTTCGCTATAAAAGCAAGCGATCAAAATGTAGAAATAGTCGGTAAAAATGGGCTACAAATACTCACGTTTTCGCGTTCCCTACAAACGAGAAAAATGTCCTCCTCGAGTAGAAACGGCGGCCGGCAAACGGCAAACGCGGGAAATGTCAGGTCACGTGACCCTCTCTGCCGTTCGCGGAAAAAAATATGTGGTGCTTAATCTCTCTATTAATGTGGTAAACTGAACTTGAAGCCAATTTGGAATCATGTAGTCAATCTATCAGATTACTCTAAGGAAAAAACTAATTCAGTAGAAAATCTATCAATTCGGCAGCCCCTCACACAATTTAGTGGTCAATTCGTCCTCTTGATGCTAATTATGTTCGAGTAATGAATAGAGAACTGATTGAATTAAGAATTAACTGATGAGGAAGTTGACTCATACGTTGGCTCACAGACTTACTGACTCATTGATTCACTGACAACTTACCTGACTCAATGACCCACGAACTAACTGACTCACTGCTCATTGAAAGACTGACTCATTGACTTACTATACAAGGCCTAAATGTTTCATTGCCGAGGGACTTAGCGAAAACCCTGACTTATCATTAGACTCAACTACGTAAAGGCACTCTTCCTTACTGAAAAGAAAAACAGACTCCCTATATTCACATACGACCTATAAACGTCTCCTCCGAGTATCAATGACATCTGTAACAAATGTTTTATTAAATCTCGAGCTGTTTTGCTGACTTTACAGTAAGTAGAATGTCTATCAACAGGTGCACCATTCGTCGAGGATGAGAATCATCATGGCTACAACTGCCAGCCGTCTTAAAAACCCTAAAATGGACAAATGCATATCAATAATTTTTCACCACTCAACTCAGCCTGTTACCGAATCAGAAAGAATTTGTGCCATTGATTCAACGGAAATGTTTATTTACGTAGGAAAGTCGATATCATACACGCGAGGTTATGAATCACAATTTGAAGAGTTGCAAATTAATAATTTGCTGGTTCTCATGCTATGCTTCTTTGGCAATTAAGAAAGGATGCCTTACCTGTCATTTTGCTTTACTTGATTCTAACTTGTCAAGGTTTCTGTCATTTTTTGTCTTTAAGTCCAAACTGAGATGATTAACAATTATTCCACGAACGCGCGTTGAATATGAGATGATAGATAGCCAACGAGGCGCGTAGCGCCTCGTTGGCTATAATCATCTCATATCCAT